AACGAGTTTTAATAATTAATTACTCGTTAACTATTACGAAAATTACAAAATGGTACAGGACTTTTCCGTTCATCTCAATCCGTTCTACCTTCTCAAAAATTTTGTCGGATATGGAAAGACTCACCCTGTATATACTAGACCTTCTTTACATAAACTTCTTTATATTATACTAGACCGCCAACTGAGGCGTTGGAAGTGAAGCCGCGTCGCCATCTTTAATGTGGGCAAAAGTTCATATACAAGGTGTCGCATTTCGAACCCTGCAACACCAACATTGGACTAATACAACACTCACTTGAAGGCGTGCTAAATTATCCTATCGATAATTGCATTTATTGTCTTCACTTAATACCACTTAATATATCACTCAGGGTTGGGAAAGTTACTTTATAAAAAGAATCTAGTTACAGTTTTTTTTCGCTAAAAATGCAACTAGTTACAGTTACAAGTTACCAATTCTGAAAAGTAACGCGTTACAGTTACAGTTACTCAAAAAGTAACGAATCGTTACTTTGCAGTTACTTTCTTGCAATGAAAATAAAAACATCAAATCTGCGTTTGAATGATAAAGCGTCGATAAAAGCGTTTACGTGCAAATGCAAGACCTAATGCGATTTGTGGAGGTTTAAAAATTATATAAAGTAACTATTAATGTAACTATTAAATTACTAGTTATCGAAAACATGTAACTGAGTTAAGTTACAGTTATAGTTGGTGAGAAAGCAACGAGTTACTTCCCAACCCTGATATCACTCACAGACTTCTATGTATAAATTATACATATACCACTTTGTTATGTTTAGTATAGAAGTCCGTTTCTAGACACCGTGTAAATGAATTTCTTGCTCACAGTAAAGATGGCTGGCGCTAAAAGTGCACAAAGTGTAAAATGAGCGGCTTCACATCTACCATACAAATTTACCAGGAGTTAGCGGTCTAGTATAATATATAGAAGTCTCTGTGATCGGAACCGAAATATATCAAAGGGCCGACAGAGAGTAAACATACTAGTTCTACTACGATAATAGCTTGAAGACATTTTTATAAACTTAAAGTCGAATACGAGAGAAAGAATATCGCGATACACAATACCGTTAATTATAAATTCGCGAGGATGAAAACAGGGGCCAGAATTATTAAAAGCGAACGTACAGTTGCGATAAATTATATAATGAACTGCTGAGAAATATCATTCTTAGCTCTGAGAAATATTAATGTATCATTGATATTTCAAAATTCTACCAGCCGCTGCGGAGCGGAAGGAAAGGCAAACGGAAGCGGAGGAGTTGTGCCGCACGATTAGCGCGCGTCCGCGGCCTCGTAACTCCGTTGTTCAGATTTTCTTCGTATTCACGCGGTGTGAATCGAGCGTGCCGGGATGTGCGAGCGGTTTATCTCGATCGTGAAACTTTTCGGTGAGCGGCGATGCAGTACGAGGCGAGATTTATAGCGCGCTTTATCGGCGTGGGATCGCCGGGCGGGAGAGCGGGCGGGCCGCCGCTCGTGCGGCGTTTCAATTTCGGAATTTCGAGCACGCTGTCGGAGCAACGACGGGGCATTAAGGCGATACCGTTGCAGTCGGCCCGGCTCGTAACGCGCGACATAACACTTGGCGTGTCGGCCGGCAATCGAGTATATTAGAAAAGTTGTTTGCTCTTTATGGCCGCCGGCGAGCTCGGTGAGAGCACAGGGGCACGTACGTACAGGGTAATTTGGCGAGGGTAGGGCGCTATAATGGACGATATAAATTCCCCGGTCAAGTTTCTCCAGCCGCTATTTTGTCGAAAGGCAAACGCTGTGTTTTCTTTTTTCTGAAATTAAACGAATCCTAGAGAAGTGCACTTAAACGATGTGTATTTAATTGACGCGAGCTGCATTATGAAAAATTAAATGGAACTAAACGAGAAAGCGTTGAGTTGTATGTAATTTAAAAGACGTGGTCTTCGCGGCGAGAAATCAGTTCTGAAGCGAATGCGCGTGTAATCAGCGGCGATCTTGACGATTTTACTTGTTACCGAAGTTATCGCGAAATATGTTCGATGCTGAGTTATCGCGTTACACTTCCATTGTTGGAATTACGCGCGTGATTTTGCCGGGCGCATAACGGAATCACAACTTGAGCATGTCGAAATTGCTTTAATCGCGCAGTCATGGGAAACAGCTTAGTTATATTCACCCGGCCAGGCTGCACGCGAAAATCTAGCAGTCCGCTATACGGGGTGTCGAGGATGTCGGAGCAATACACTCAGTTCACTCGAACGTGGAGATTGCGAAGTAGAGTTTTCCCCTTTAAAATTATCTTCTCTTGTCAATCTGTATTAGCGGAGTAGCTTGCTCCCGGCTTGTTGCGAGACACGTTGCGATCGTAAGGAAAACGGAAGGATAGGTCGAGGTTGAGACACCCTGGCTCTTTAATCGAGATTACGGGCACCGGTGCGCGCCCGGTAACATCGGAAATTTGAATTTCGGCCCGGGATCTATATCTCGCAGTACAGTCTTGCAATAGATAGGGTACTTTATAGTCCGGCGACGGGGGTAAAGTTGCCCTTTCAGTAGCAAACTCGTTCGATAGTCAGCCGCATAGCGAAACGCAGTTGCGCTCGCCGAATACACCGAGCAGCCGCATGGCGTTTAATGCGCACCTGAAAATGCTGAAAAATGTAGGGATCGCTCGAGAGCGCGTGAACGAAACGTTAAACGCGCAAAAGGAACCATTGCTCGAGTGTTTTCCTTGCGTCGCAGAATGAAGAATGAACAATGAGGAATTACCTTTCCTTGCAAATTTCTTGGATTTCATTTCAAGTGGCAATATTATTATTTTACTTGTTATATGCGCAGATTTATCAATATTACGAGACATTGCCGAGCGGATTAATACCGAATAAATAAAAACTCCCCCTTTATCTGTCGATATCAAAGTCGGGCGTATAAAAGTGGAGACGTAAAAATTATCTCACCGCGACATACGTTGTAGCTTTTCGCGGCGCCGCGAGCTTAAAGCTGCCACTAAGACCCGACGATAAAGGTGATGCATTATATCGCTGGGATAAAACTGTCGGAGGGACAACACGAACGTGTTTCCGGCCTGTTGCGACGTTTGGAACAGAGAGACACGCTTCGATCCGAGGTTTTTACATGGTTGACTTTATGACGCAATGTTGTAAAACAAGAATGCAGATATGTTGTACGTGCGGTGAAATATACATGACATTTCCTCGGCGCGCATTTTGTTCCGTATTTCCCGTCTTTTGACGTTCTCCTTTGAAATAAATCTTGCAAGTGGGTTTATACGATTTTCTAAATCTTATCTTTTCCCTTTGAGTTCGCATTATTACTTATATTACGAGCAACACCGGATTCACCCCGAATTTCCGAGTGTAATCTAGAGCAGCAATCCTGCTTGCCTATTCTTATAATCGCCGTGCGAACGCCACGTTAATAAGCTGCAATAAATTATAACAATGATAATAATTATCGCGTCCTAATAAATCATCTAAAATCTTTTAATACGTTTGTGTAAGCGCAGGTGTTCATTTCCTCGATTACACAGTATTGAAAAGTTCATATTTCTGTATAATTCCATTTTCTATAATTATACAATATAACTCTCGATCTAGTTACGTTTAATCGTATGTCAGGCGTAAAGCGTTAATTCAAGCATGTCACAACGAGATTCCCGTGACTATAATTTATTTTTTCATTTAATTTAGTTTATTGTTATATAATTCTCGATCTAGTTACGTTTAACCGTATATCAGGAGTGAGCGTTAATTCAAGCTTGTCACAACGAGATTCACGTGACTGTAATTTATTTTTTCCATTTAATTTTAGTTTATCGCAAAGATGCAGTGAAGGAGAAAGTAATATAAAAGGTGAGGCACGTCGTTGTTGCAAAGCCTACCTGCCAAACTTCCATATAAAATAAGAATTGGGACAAACGTAAGAAACGAAAGCGCTACGCTAGACTCTTTTTATTCCAAAATAACCGCCATTTCCTCGGAAAAGTTATCGATCGGTTCGACCACCCGAAAGCAACGTAGACGCGAAGGTCGGTGGTACATGCATACATACACATCGGACGTACCTACCTATCTGCGGCTGCACGCGAGACTGCATCTTGCACGATGATGCACTGTCGCTCTCGTTACGGGCCGTCCGCTCCTTCCGGCCGCGCGCAGGCCGGGGATGAAATGAAACGTGAATAAAATATAAAGAATGACCGGGTTTCGCGCGCACTACTCATCCCCCGTCATCCCGCGGGGTGTACGGACGTAACAGCGGGGGATGGTGATTTAGTGTACACCGCGGCAGAGTCTCGCACGGCGGTGGGGGCGGTGGGGGGGGGGGTGGTTCTCCGGGGGATCGCGAATGCATTTCGATCCTCCCGCGCTCTCTCTCGCTCTCCCCCTCGCCCGTGCCTTCTCTCTACAGCCTGTTATTCTCGTTTTCCATCTGTCTATCAGCGTTATCCTTTCCGCCTTGATCTTCCCGCGCGCTCGCTCGCTCGCGCGTATCCGCGCTGCATCCGGGAAATTCCGTATAAGAGGCGAAGCAACGTAGCGGAAGGACGATTTTTACCCTCGAGAAACGTTTACTTATTGTTAGTATCGCAAACACGAGAGTTCCATTATTATTCGATCCTTCGAGATAATAGCTTTTCATCGGAGACGGCGCTGTCGAGGAAAATTAGTAAATTTATTCACGTATAAAGTTTTAATTTACCGCTAATCATATATCGCGATGTTACGTGTCGTATCGTTTTAATTAAAAAAAAGAGTTAAAGTCGAAAAAGACGCGAGGATGTCATCTTTGTACTGTTATTGCGACGAGTATTACCACATGCCTCGACGAAAAAACGGTGGTATCGATGTAGCGAAAATTAGAATAATAGCCCGCGCCGAACACATCATTAAATACTATTTACTGGAGATAACATAATAATCTGTAAATCACGTTAAATTATTTCAACTTGAGATTAAGTTAGGCCCAAGTGCACTCTTTGTTAAGGTTAGTTTCTTCAAATTGCCGGTATTAATAATAAAATTCCAAATTTCATTCGGCCTCAGCTGACCGCATTTATTAATTTATTAATTTATTAATTAACCGGCCAATACAGATAATTTATTGTCTGTCGAATTGGTGAGATGCCCGCCTGGAGAGGAGTCCAGGTTCAAACCCCGGCTGAGGTAATATTTTTCGCAATAAATTATCTGTATTGGCCGGTTAATTAATAAATTAATAAATTAATAA